AAAACATTCCATGGATCTCCACGGTCTCTCCATCAAGGACAAATGTCTCAATGTGGCACCCAGATCCCCCAGGAACATGCTTCTCTCTCCTCACACCTTTGAATGAACCAGTCACTTTGGGCTATTCATTAGTTTTCCCCCAAAATTCCATTTTTGGGGGAAAAAAAAATTAAAGCATATCCATTGTCCAACCTTCATTCACTTATTCTTTCATTCATTGACTCAACTAACCAAGCATTTATTGAGCAATTATGATATACCAAACACTGGCATTCAGAATATGTAATTTAAACACACTGTTGAAAAGGCACTTGCTCTAGAAAATTGTTTCTCATCTGGCAACCAGTTATTTACACATGCCCCTATCCTCTGATTTCCCTGCAATAATATGCTTTGTCCTCTCTTGAGAAATTTATTCAGTTCAGCTCTGGGCTATAGTTATTCATGTTTATATCTTATCCTTCTGCTGAACTGCAAGCTCCTTCAGGTTAAAACAATGCTTTAAAAAAAAAAAAAATCTCTGTATGCACAATAGGCAGGTGGCAGTAAACGTTTTCTGAACTGGATTGAATTTAATTTCAAGATAAGTGGCTTTGATGTTTATGAAATGAAAGAAATTTTAAGCAGCAGAAGTCTGGCTATGAATGAGTTTTTGTATTATGATAGGTGGAAGAAGCACAGTTTTAACAGATGGTTCTTCAAAAATAGATGTGAGATGTTAAAAATAGTTCATTCAGGCCAAGGAATGGGAGCTGACTAGCATCTGAGGAATCAAGTTGCCATGGTAACAGGCTTTCAGGCACTCAAGCCTGTAGTCTTGGTCGGTCCACTGCTGTCACTGGAACAGTCCTAGAGGTGCATCAATCAGAGGGACACCTTTGACATCACATGCTTTCTGTCAAGCCACCAAAACCCCAGGGTTTGTATTTTTTATCATTTTGATGTAAGAGTTCCAGGAAAGTATTCTTTAAAAACAAGCCCCAGAGGTGTTCAGTTCCTGTGATCGATGACTGGCTGGTCAGAGCTAATTTCTCCAGCCTACAGGAATGAATTTTACTGAAAATCTTCACATTTGTTTTCGATTATTAATCTTTCAAAATTCTTCTTTGTAGGAACTTTAAAAATCAGTATCAGTAGTTATCACCACTGGTTATCTGAGGAAGATGTGAGCGATTTTTGTTTTCTGCCTCTTCTATTTCTGTGATGTTTAAAGTTTTATAAGCAGGTATTGCTTTTATACTGAAAAAAAAATCAACAAGTTCATATTTTTGAAATTTGAAAAGAGATCTCTATATCAATCAGAAGAAGTGGATTCATATTACCTTTATATAGAATAGTTAAAAAATATATATATATATTGAGAGTCAACGGAAAGGAAGGAAGAAAGAAATTCTGAGCCATATGTCCTGATTCTGAAATTAAGGGATGTGATACCAGGAGGTATGGCTGTCTTACTGTTATTTCTTTGACTCACATTTGTTGGCTTTATCTTCCTTAAAGACTCTAAGTTGTTGCTGTTTATTGTTTCAGTGCTTTCCCCAGCACGGAGTTGGCGTGAACCAGTTGCCCTGGCATCGATTCAGACTCATGGTGACCCCATGTTTCAGAGAAGAACTGTACTCCCCAGAGCTTTCAGTAGCTGATTTTTTTGGAAGTACTTCACCAGGCTTTTCCTTCCAAGGCACCTCTGAGTGGAC